CTTCTGGATGAACTGTCTGACTGGATTTCTAGTGGGGTCAAAGTCCCCAGACTTTATGTGACAAGAACTGTATGACTCTTGACACATGCATAGAAGTGCTTTGCTGCTGTGATTGGTGTTGATGTTCTATGTGCTGTGTGTGGAGGAAATTGAATGAAGGTACTATCAGATCCGTTTTTGTCAGACTGTACCCCATGGGTACTTCAGATGTGCATATTAGAAGAGAAGTCACTGAGTTGGATAAACTAGAAGAGAGATTTATATTATCGTTTATTAATTATCTGCATTCTCTTAGCACACCCAAATTTTCCTCTCCTTTCAAGTTCCTCTAACTGTACATTTGTTCATTGTACCAAATAATGTGACATGTCTTACATTTCTGAGGTTTTTTTTTTTTTTTTTGGTTTTTTGAGACAGGGTTTCTCTGTGGCTTTGGAGGCTGTCCTGGAACTAGCTCTTGTAGACCAGGCTGGTCTCGAACTCACAGAGATCCTCCCGCCTCTGCCTCCCAAGTGCTGGGATTAAAGGCGTGCGCCCCCAGCGCCGGGCCCATTTCTGAGCTCTTACTTTGATTTTTTTTTAGATGGGATCTCATGGAGCTCAGGATAGCCTGGAATTTGCAGTGTAGCTGAGGATGACCTCGAGCTCCTCATCCTCCTGATTCCACCCCCTGAGTTTTGGGATTATGGATATGTGCCACCACACCCAGCCTGGCTGTTTTCTGTTTCTATTGTGTTCAGACTCTTCATTTGTCCTGTATAGTTTCAAGGTCTTTCAGGCTCAGGCGTTAGCTCCTGTGTCTGTAGCCCCCTGTGGTGATCTACAGTGGCGTAGGTGGTCAATAAGTGTTGCCAGGAGAATACATTCTGGATGCATTTAAAATTCTAGTCTTGACTCACAGAATCATAGCATGGTAGTGTTATAGAGGGCTCAGGAGACTCTCTCCATCCTTTTTGTGGTTTAAGAAATCAGTAAATAAATATTTTTAAAAGGGGGCGCTGGAGAGATGGCTCAGAGTTTAAGAACACTGGCTGCCCTTCCAGAGGACCCAGGTTCAATTCCCAGCACCCACATGGCAGCTCACAACTGTCTGTAACTGGAGTTCCAGGGTATCCAATGCCCTCATACAGACATACATGCAAACAAAACACCAATGCAAATGAAATAAAATAAATAAATATAAAAAAAAGAAATCAGGCCCACAGAAGTAAGCTAATTCAAGATCTCTTGAATGTTTATCTTTTGGCTATGCAATTCTGAAGACATTCAAATTATTAAAGTTGTGTATAATGCCAAATGCTAGAATTTCCCAAGACCATGCTCCTAAGAAACCAAGGATTATTTTGTAGAAAACTGACAGCATTCTGGCATGGCATTCTCAAAGGAGCACAGTGGCCTATCTCTCAGTGAGCACTTAAAATGTAAGATGCTTTGTGAGTTCATGGAGGACCATTGCCTCTGTTGTCACTCTTAGGTCTGGATACCAGGATGAAAATTGCTGGGAGAAAAATTGAGCAAGGTGTGCTCCTTACCTAGACACTCTGTGGGTGCTCATGACTCAGAAAAAA